GCAGCAGCAGCAGCTCTGCGTGCGTGAGAAGCAGAAGCAACAGAACCCGCTGTCGCCACACTCGCTGTGGTGTCTGTACACCTCAATGGACAGCGACGAGCGCAGCGAGAGGCGCCCGAGTCAGCGGAGCTCTCGCCGGCGCCGGCGGCAGCAGCAGCAGCAGCAGCAGCAGCAGGAATCGCAGGAAGAGGAGCAGCAAGAGATATCAGAAGACGAAGACCTCCAGCTTGCGCTAGCTTTGTCCCTTTCGCTGCAGCAGCAGGAGCAGCAGCAGCAGCAGAAGAGCGAAGCAGCTTCCTGCGAAGCGTCCGACGTACCAAGCAGCAGCAGCAGCAGCAGTAGCAGCAGCAGCAGCAACAGCAGCAGCAGCAGCAGCAGCAGCCGCACTAACAACAGCAGCAGCATCATCGACGACAGCAACGAAAGGTCAGAAGACAAGGAGAAACTCCCGAACAAACAGCTCCACGATCAGCAGCAGCAGGAGGGATACCTGCAGCAGCAGCAGCAGCAGCCGCAGGACCAACAGGAAAAGCAGCAGCAGGATCCTCAGCAGCAGCAACAATGTCAGCAGCAGCAGCAGCAGCAAAAGCGGCGGCAGGCGCCTCAGCGCAGAAGACGCAGCCGCCCTCGCGTTACAAGAAGGCAGCAGCGAGCAGCAGCAGAGTGCAGCAGCAGCAGCAGCAGCAGCAGCGATGGGAACAAGAAGCGCTTGCGGATTCATCTTGACAGCAGCAGAAGCAGCAGCAGAAGCAGCAGCAGGAGCAGCAGCTGCAGCAGGAAAGTCAGCTGCAGCAGCGCAGGAGAAGACTTGCAGCTCGCCATAGGTTTGTCTCTCTCTGAACAAGTAGGCCCTAACGAGAGCAGCAGCAGCAGCAACAGCAGCAGCAGCAACAGCGGCAGCAGCAGTAGCAACAGCAACAGCAGCAGGAGCAGCAGCAGGCTGTGTGATGGAGACACGAGGGGCAAGCACGAAGACAGTAAGGACGGCAGAAGCAGCAGCATCAACTGCAGCAGCAGCAGCAGCAGCAGTAGCGAAGGCAGAGAGACACAAGCAGGCCGGAAAGCAGGTCCGAGACAGAACAGAAGGCGTGCTGCTGCTGCTACTGTTGCTGCTGACAGCGGCAGCAGCAGCAACTACAGCAACAGCAGCAGCAGCAGCAGCAGCAGCTGGAGCAGCGAATCCGAATCCGGAGAGCAGCGGCGCCGCCGCAGGAACAACGAGAGCCCCCACAGCAGCAGAGCAGCAGCAGCAACACGCAGAAAAGCAGCAGCAGCAGCAGCGGCAGCACCAGCAGCAGCAAAAGCAGCAGCACGGGGCAGCAGCAGCAGCAGCAAGAAATCGCTGCTGGCAGAGCGGCGAGCTGCGCTCCGCGCTGAGCGGAAGCAGCGGCACCAGAGGACAGCAGCAGCAGCAGCAGCAGCAGCAGCAGCATGGAGGGAGGAGAAGCTGCTGGCAGCAAGAGACTTCCTGTGGGATGTGCTCACTGGAGTCGAGACAGTGGCTCCGCTGAAGCAGCAGCAGCAGCAGCTGCTGCAGCAGCAGCAGCAGCAGCTGCAGCAGGCGCTCAACAAGCTGCAAAGCGATTTAACAGCAGAAGCAGGCGAAATGCTGCAGCGGCAAGAGCAGCAGCAGCAGCAGCAGCAGCAGCAACAGGAGACAGCCGCAGCAGGCACGGCGCAACAGGCCGCTGCGCCAGCGCCAAGAAGCCCCACAGACACTAGCACTAGCAGCAGCGGCAGCAGCGGCAGCAGCAGCAGCAGCAGCGGCAGAAGCAGCAGCAGCGGCAGTAGCAGCAGCAGCAGCGGCAGCAGCAGCAGCAGCAATGTGTTTCATAACTACGTGACGCTGGAGCAGCTGCGCCAAGCCGCAGAAGCAGCAGCTGTGGACCTCAGTGAAAAAGATCTTCTCGAAATGATTGCTGCTGCTGCTGCTGCTGCTGCTGGCGCTGCTGCTGGTGCGGCTGGAGCTAATGCGGCAGCAGCAGCAGCAACAGCAGCAGAAGCAGCAGCAGCAGCCAAAAAGCAATATGTCACCTTTGCTGAATTTGCTGCAGTTTTCAACCACGCAGGGCTCAGAGTAGAAAAGAATGGACACGTTTGGTAGCAGCAGCAGCGAAAACAGCAGCAGCAGCTGCTGCTGCTGCTGCACCAGCAGCAGCTGCTGCTGCACCAGCAGCAGCTGCCGCATCAGCAGCAGCTGCTGCCACTGCTTTTGTTGAGAATGCCTTTTGTGCTTCTGCAGCAGTAGCTGCTGCTGTCGCCAAAGCAGCTGCAGCAGCGGCTACTGAGTCTGCAGCAGCAGCAGCAGTTGCTGCTGTTGCACTGCAGCAAAAGCAAACTGTTAGTTTTGTGTTGCTGCGAAGGCCTGCTGCTGGGACCGTTGCAGGTCTTCCCACTTTGGCTGCTGCTCCATCTGCTGCAGCTGCGCTTGCTGCTGCAGCAGTAGTTGCTGGTGCAGCAGCAAATACTGCAGCAGCAGAAACTACTGCAGCAGCAGCAACTGCTGCAGCAGCAACAACGGTAGCGCCAGCAACTGCCTTTGCAGTCCAGGTGTCTCTCCAGCTGCTCCTAGGTGGTTAGCTGCAGCCATTCGTCCCTTCTATAGGGGCATTTGCTGCATCCGCTGCTGCTGTGTCTGCTGCTGCTGCTGCTGCATCTGCTGCTGCTGCTTCGTCTGCTGCTGCATCTGCTGCTGTTGCCCCGCTCGTCGTGGGGTTGGTGCTGCTGCCATATCAGTAGATGCTTCTGCTGCTCCAGGTGCTGCTGCCCAAGCTGCTGCTGCTGCTGCTGCTGCTGCAGTAACCTAGGGGCTGCGGACAACCTGCAGCAGCAGCAGCAAAGGCAGGTGCAGCAGCAGCTTGGAGTGTATCTGCAGCTCGAGTTGAGCAGTCGCATGCGGGCCCATTTATTGTTTTGAATTTATTAAATTTATTTAAATTTATTTTTAATTTAATTTTAATTAGCAGCAAAACAAATAAAGCTTTTCTCTCTTCGCGCTGCTGCAGCCTCAGCGGCAGCCGCTCCTGGGGTGTGACAGGGTATGTTTGCTGCTGCTGCTATTTGCTGCTGCTGCTATTTCCCCAGACTGTGTAAGCCTAGTTACGCATGCATGCAATATGAACAGAATGTGTCAATTAAATCAGAATATGTTGCTAATACAATATTATTTTGATATTAAATTAATAAATAATAATAAAAGGCATTAATAATCGCTAATCTGCAACATAAAGAGGCAAAACGCGGCGGGCTCTTGCGAAATCAGCTAGCAGCAGCAGCAGCAGAAGCACGGCAGCAGCAGCAGTTGGGCTGGAGCACGTGTACATACACCTGAATGTGCCTTTGCGAATGCTAAGGACAGAGAGAAACACAAAAGAGATAAAGAGAAGAAAAACGAAAAAAAACAAAAAAACAAAAGAGAAAAGGGGCAGTAAGAGACAATAAGAAACAAAAGAAGACAAAAGGACAAACAAAGTGACAAAACGAGACAAACAGCACCAGCAAGCAGCAGCAGCAAACAGCAGCAGCACACAACAGCAGCAACTAGCGGCAGCAAACATTAGCAGCAGCAGCAAACATTAGCAACCGCAGCAAACATTAGCAGAAGCAGCAAACATTAGCAGCAGCAGCAGCAAACGTTTGCAGCAGCGGCAAACGTTAGCAGCAGCAGCAAATAGCAGCAGCAGCAAATAGCAGCAGCAGCAAACATACCCTGTCAATGCTGTCAAGAGAAGCCATGTAAACATTTCCGTCGCGAGCAAAGAAGAGGCAGCAAGCATTAGGAGACCCCAGCAGTACCGCTTCTTGCTGCTGCTGCTCCTGCTGCTGCTGCTGCTGCTGCTGCTGCTCCTGCTGCTGCTGCTGCTGCTGCTGCTGCTGCTGAGGGTCCCTGCTTTCAGCAGCAGCTTGTTTGAGGAAGGCAAGAGAAGGAGCGCATGCCTCGGGGGGCAATCGATTTGCTGCAGCAGCAAGAGCGTAGGAGGGCACAGCAGCAGCAGCATCAACTGTTGCTGCTGCTGCTGCTGCTGCGGCAATTTCGCAAGACCCCATTGGGCGAATGTAGTCTCGGGCATCTTCCTCTTCAATGGGGGGCAAGGGGAGCTGCTGTTGCTGTTGCTGCTGCTGCAGCAGCACGTGCAGAAGGCTCCTGCCAGGCGAGACTCCCTCTGCTGCTGCTGCTGCGGTGTGCATGCGCGCGCAGGCCCCCAGAGCTGCTGCTGCTGCTCCTGCAGGCAGCTGCTGCACTGCTGCTGCTGCTTCTGCACTTTCCAAGTGGAGATACACCCGCGAGCCTGCTGCCAAGGTTAGCTCGCGTCGACCCAGCAACTCAAGCCGTTGCTGCTGCTGCTGCTGCTGCAGGGGAGCAGCAGGAACAGCAGCAACTTGAATGTCAAGAGCGTCAACCAGGGGAAGAGACTCCAGATCGGCCAGGTCTTGCAGCCGGAGCCCTGTACACAAACCCCAAACCCTAGGCCCCTAGACCCTAAACCCTAAACCCTAGATCCTAGATCCTAAACCCTAAACTCCGGAACTGGAGGATGCGGACGGGCAAGCTGGCTCAGTGCCTTGAGCAGGAGAAACCCCGCAGCAGCAGCAGCGGCACCGGCAGCAGCAGCATCAGCAGCAGCAAAGTCTCACTTATCATCTGCAGGATGCGCCGCAAGTCTTGCGCCGTCACAATGCTGCTGCTGCTGCTGCTGTCCTGCTGCTGCACCGGCAGCAGCAAACGGTGCTGCTCCCAAGAACAGTCCAGCAAAACAAAACCAGAAAAGCTTCGACGCACTTTGGGGGGCCAGCCCCACGAGACCACTTGGCTGCAAGCCTCAGCAGCCAAACCCTAAACCCTAAACCCTAAACCCTAAACCCTAAACCCTAAACCCTAAACCCTAAACCCTGAATCCGTGGGAAGAAGCAGGCTTGCGCTTCAATATCAGGGGAAAAGAAGACAACGGACACTCCTTAATCCAAAACCCCAAACGTCAAACTCTAAACCCTAGACATTCATGCCTGAACCCTAAACCCTAAATCCTAAACCCTAAACCCTAAAAGCTCATGCGAAAGGACAGACCGAATTACTTCTTCAGCGCGGCGCCGCCAGAACGCGTCAAGGGGGTCATCGATCTGCACGCAGGCCCATGTGCCAAACCCTAAACCCTAAACCCTAAACCCTAAGCCCTAAAGCCTTAGCCCTATTCCGTGCCTTCTTTGCCAACCCCAAGCCCTAGTTTGACCTTTCGGCATTATAAACCCTAAACCCTAAACCCTAAGTCTGGCGCAGCAGAGCTTCACGCATGTGTCGGAAACAGCCTATGCTTAGACTGGGGTGTAGGGTTTAGGGTTTAGGGTTTAGGGTTTAGGGTTTACTTGGCCCATGTCGGCCCCACAAGGAGAAGGGGAATTTGCAAACGCGTAAGAAGTGTCAAGAAAGAAAAAGCTGTTTTTAGGAGACGGGGGGGTCTGTTGCGCAGCAGCAGCAGCCGCGAAACTAAACCCTAAACCCTAAACCCTAAACCCTAAACCCTAGGGCGAGTCTGCATGCATCAGCGAGGGTTTAGGGTTTAGGGTTTAGGGTTTAGGCCTACGGGTTCCTGGTTCAACTCCAGCAAGGGCAGCGGCTCTCCAGCAGACACAAAACCCTCGCCTGCAAACCGCTCAAATTGCTCGCGGGTAGTTGGGCTGCAGAAACCACAAAAAAGGGTTTAGGGTTTAGGGATTAGCGGCTGCAGCCGCACGAAAAAGGGTTTAGGGTCTAGGGTTTAGGATTTAGCGGCCGCTGCAGCGAAACCGACGCCCGACTCTCCCAGCCCAAACCCTAAACCCTAAACCCTAAACCCTAATTGAGGTGTAGACAGTGAGCCCTGCTCACACCCAAACCGTAAACCCTAAACCCTAAACCCTAAACCCTAAACCCTAAACCCTCGCAGGGATGATACCCTCGCGCGGCTGCTCTTCGCGCTGCGCCCATTTCTCTTCTTCTATCATGGCTTCCGCAATTGTCTGCACCAAGCCACAAACCCTAAACCCTAAACCCTAAACCTTAAACCCTAAACTTTAAACCCTAAAGTGGCGGATGCACCGTAGCATCAGCTCCCGCTGAAATGGCCCACGCCTAGTGCCCGCCAACGCAGAGGGCTTAGGGTTTAGGGTTTAGGGTTTAGAGATCAAGGATTAGGGCTTTTGGCTGCAGAAGGCCCGCCGTTTGCGCTTTTAAAGAGCTGAGGGCTTTATAATCTAGGGTTTAGCGTTAAGGGTTTAGGGTTTAGGGTTTCTTACTGTGACAGTCTTGCGGTACGGGGGGCCTTCTTCCTGCCCCGCAGATGCTGCAAATAAACAAACCCTAAACCCTAAACCCTAAACCTTAAACTTTATGCCATGAATTGGTAGTTGGAACCACATCTGATCAGCAGCAGCAGCAGCAGCAGCAGCAGCAGCAGCAGAAGATCGTACCGGCGGGCCAGGGCCCAAGACCCCTGTGAAGCTTCTCATATTCCAGCAAATCTGTCTGAGGCCAGCATCACCCTAAACCCTAAACTCTAAACCCTAAACCCTAAACCCTAAACCCTGTTTTCGACGCTATCGCCGGCACGCAGACTACCGGGCCTTCTCAAGTGAATTGCAGCAGGTCAGCAGCTAAACAAGGGTTTAGGGTTTAGGGTTTAGGGTTTGCATACGTAGACTTCCCGGGGCTCCGGCTGGACACGCTGCTGCAGCGCAGCATCAAGATACACTTCAAAGTCTGAAGCAGCAGCAGCAGCAGCAGCAGCAGCAGCAATGGCAACAAACGGACAGAGTCTAGCTGGAAGAAGGTTGCTGCCTTTCATACTGCTCCTACTGCTGCCGCTGTAGCTACTGCTACTTCTGCTGCTGCTACTGATGCTGCTACTGTTGGTGCTGCTGCTACAGCTGCTGCTGCTGTTGCTGCTGCTGCTGCTGTAGCTGACTGTTATCTCCCTCTCGGCCCTTAACTAGGAGATCCGGCTCTTCTTCTTTCAGCAGATCTGCTGCTAAATAAACCCGTTTGCTGCTGCTGCTGCTGCTGCTGCTGTTGCTGCTGCTGTTGCTGCTGCTGTTGGCGCCGCGGCGCCGGCGCAGCCGTTCCTCGTAAGCAGCAACTCTTTCCTGCTGCTGCTGCTGCTGCTGCTGCAGTATCTGATTCTGCACTTCCTCCTCTATAATGAGGTTGTTAGGCGGAGCCACGAAGGGATAGTCCCTAAGACACAAACACGCAGACACATTGCAGTTGCTGCTGCTGCTGCTGCTGCTGCTGCTGGGCATTTGGTTGTGCTGTCGCTGCTGCTGCTGTTTCTCGCCCGTGTCGTTTTCGTGGTAGCAGGCTAGTTAGGAGTGAGCAGCTAGCAGCAGCAGCAGCAGCAACTGTGGGAGATCCACGAACACAGCAGCAGCAGCAACTGTGGGAGATCCACGAACACAGCAGCAGCAGCAACTGTGGGAGATCCACGAACACAGCAGCAGCAGCAGCAGGAACTAAGGTAGGCTTTACAGCAGCAGCAGCAGCAGCAGCAGCAACTCATACTCTACATCAATGTCATCGTCATCTTCACTCCCCTCCTCTGCCCCCTCTGCTGCTCCTGCTGCTTCTGCTGTTTGTGCTACTTCTGCTGCTTCCGCTGTTTCTGCTGCTTCTGTTGCTTCTCCTGCTGCTGCTTTTGCTGCTGTTGCTGCTGTTGCTGCTGCTACAGGAGTGCACTCCCTACAGGCTGTTGCAGTCCTTGACCCCATTAGCGTAATCCGTGTTGCTGCTGCTGGGTATTTTGTGGCATTTCTACTGCTGCTGCTGCTGCTGCAAGCGGTTTTGCTGCTGCTGCTGCTGCTGCTGCTGCTGCTCCTGTAGAGGAAGCGATGAGGCTTTATCGGGTGCAGCCACGCAGGCGCAATACGCCTTGGCGCTGCTGCTGCTGCCTTCGCTGCTGTTGCTGCTGTTGCTGCTGCTGATGCTTTTGCTTTTGCTGCTTCTGCTGCATCAGCTGCTGTGGCAACTGCTCGCTGCCTTCCCTGCACAGCAGCAGCAGCAGCAGCAGCAGTCTCTCCTGCTGTGTCAGCTGCCGTGCGATGGAGCAAGCGGCCCTGCACAGCGAAGCTGTGCAGCAGCAGCAGCAGCAGCAGCAGCAAGCGCTGCGTTTGCTGCAGCATGTTGCCTAGGAGAGACCAGCAGCACGGTTTCTGTGCTGCTGTTTAACTACGCATAAACCCTAAACCCTAAACCCTAAACCCTAAACCCTCAAGGGGGCCCCATCATGAGTGGGTTGCTGCCAGCGGTCAGGTCTCCCCTAAACCCTAAACCCTAAACCCGAGATCCTAGACACAAGCAATAAATATATATATTGCCCTCAATTGTAGCTTTTTATTAATGACCCTCAAGCCTAAACCCTAAACCCTAAACCCTAAACCCTAAACCCTAAACCCTAATTTCAAGTCTTGAGGCTGCATCGGGGGGCCCCACAGCCGACACTCGGCTGCTAAACCCTAAACCCTCGGGGCGGCTAAACCCTAAACCCTCGGCCGACGTAAACCCTAAACCCTAGATAAAAAACATTTTAATTTTTCAAACGCTTGCAGAAACCTTTTCAAGAAACCACCCGCAGCAAAGGTCTACTCAGACCACCAGCTAGCTCAGGAAACCTTGAGGGTTTAGGCTTTGAGGTTTAGGGTTTAGGGTTTAGGTCAGCTCTGGGGGCCCCTGAGTCCCCCAACGCTTCTTCAGGAGTTTCTGTCTCCTCTTTTATGTAATAAGGAGTCTCCACCGACAGCACAGGTGTGGCTTCTTGCTGCTTCTGCTGCAGTTGGTGCTGCTGCTGTTGCTGCTGTGTATGTTGCTGCTGCTGCTGCTGTGGGCACTGCCCAAGCTGCTGCTGCTGTTGCTGCTGCTGCTGCTGCTTCAGTGACTGAAGGATGAGCAGCAGCCATGCTACATGCTGCGCCGACGGCCGCTGGGTAATGATCTGCTGCTGCTGTTGCTGCTGCTGCAGCAGCAGCAACAGGGGATACGTGCTGCGTCTCCGGCTTCTGCTGCTGCTGCTGCTGCAGCTACTCTCTAAGAAGCAGCGGCAGCCCCACGAGTCAGCAGCAGCCTGCAGCACCTCTAGGTCCCCCCAAGGCATATATTTCTTAGGAACTAGCAGCAGCAGCAGCAGCTGTTCTGCTGGCGCTGCTGCTGCTGCTGCAGCCAGCTTACCTCCAGGGCTTTTCTCTGACTCTTCTCCATTCCTTGCTGCTGCTGCTGCTGTCGCTGTCTCTGCTGTTGTTGCTGCTGCTGCTGCAGCGCTTGCTGCTGCTGCTGTCCGAGCCAGCAGCAACCCTTGCAGCCGCCATTCTGAGGTGTCTGTACACCCCAGCAGCGCCGCTTCTCCAGGGGCCCCCGCATGGGGGCCCCCAGGACCCTGGGGGCCCCCAGGAGTCTGGGGGCCCCCAAGCCCCTGGGG